TCAGGGAGGGAGGCTGAGACCCCATGCTGGATAGAGGGTACGGCTGCAGTTTCTCAAACTAGCTACCAAAGGAAGCGTGAGCCCCAGGGGTGAAGGGGCCAAGGGAAGGCTGTTTGGGTTTTTCTGTGTGATTTAAAAAATGAGCCCTTCCTACGTGAGGTTCACCATGGACTTTAAGATACTAAGCTTTACATGCAGACGGCTTGATGGTCTTTCACCCCTGCCCTGTCTGCGTCCTCTGCTCAGTCTGGGATGAGGGTTTTCTGCCTTCTTCTGTGTGGATCACTGAATGAGGGTAGGCCTTAAGCCAGCATGAAAATCTGCTTAAAAGAAGAAATAAATCTTTAGACAAAGATAACTTAAAAACCTTTTCTCTATTTTCATGTATTTTAAAATAAGTTGTGAAATGAAAGGTACATTTACCCGTGTACACACATAACACTAATGTAGCCTGTTCATGTCCTTCGTTTCAATCAGCCCCCATCACCGCCCTTAGGTAGCCTCCTGGCCTTACGGTGGTGCAGACACCTTAGCTCTTTGGACTTTGTGTCGCCTTCTTTCTCATCTCAAGAAATGCTTCTCGGTGGGACGAGTGATCGCCTAAGCTAAGATCAGACTTACCTTTTAGCCACCTTACATGGGAGAGTCTGGAAACTGAGGAGCCACTTAGCCCAAAGGTTTCGGGTAGAGTCCCTGCACTTCAGAGGAGAGAGGCCAGGCAGGCCGTCCCCACCCATTGTCAGCTCTCTTCTTCCCCTGATGTTAATGTGAGTTCTGTTTCTTCTTTGGATTTGATTAACGCACATTAAACCAAAGACTGACCCTAAATTCATGTAGGGTACCAGCTGCCCATCGTGGTAGGCCCTAGGGAGCAGCGAGTGTGGCTCGTGAGTCCTGCCATCACAGTGCAGCGAGGCCACGAGCTTTATGTACAGCCCAGCGCAGCCGCGTCCGGGAGACCGGGCAGGAGGCCGGGGAGGCTCCCACAGGAGCGGCGTCACTGTTCTCAAGTCGGCCAAGTGCTGTTTCGCTGTAAATGTTCCTGAAGTTCTGTAGGCAGCTGTTTATAATTAAGAAAAAGATTGTTTATATCCATTAACTAATAGAATTGTTATTTATTATCTGAAAGAGCAACACCATCCCAATTTACTCCACTTGCTACTCAAGAAATGGAACCAAAGGAATCCGACTTGCGTTTTGTGTAGGACCTTACCTATTTATACTTCATGGTCGCATTATAGAAATTAACGATCTTTTTTGTTGTTGTTGTTAAGGAAAATAAGATTCAAGATTAAAGGATTTTTATTGAGATCATCTTGCCAATTTGCGCCACATCATTCACTCATTGTTGGGAGAAAAGCACAATTATACCTCTTTTAATGCTATTTTACCCATTCTCCCTCATTTATTAGGGAAGACAGGGAGAGCTTGTTTATATTACCCAGAAGCACAGATATTTGCTTCACATATATTTAAGTTTAGCTCAATCTTTTAACATTAAATTTTCTGTTTAACTTGCCGAAAAAGCCAGATATGTTCACAAATGTAGGAATGCGTGTCCATTTCTAAAGTTCCAAACCCTGATAGAGACATTGCAGTTGGTGCGTAATAAACGCACAGCTTACAGAAGACACCTGTGCTAGCTCATCGTCTGCGGTCACTCCCAGACCATGTCCTCCTCACAGAACTTTTCCTGACCAAGGAAATAGTAAGATCGCTGAGACAGGAAGACAGGGAGGGCTTTTCCTTTCCTACCCACCCCCCGAAAAAGGAGGAGTCCTGCCAGGGAGAAGCGGGGTGGGCCTGGGCAGGGGTGTGCCGTGAGATGGCGGGGCCCTCACACTCGCTGGCTGCTGGGGTCTGGGGCCTCTTGGGCCCCCACAGACCAGTCTGCAGTTTGAGAACCCTCAAGTAATGGAAGGCCTCAGTGATTCATTAGGAGAGTTTTGGTCAAATGCTTTATTAAATTGGCATCTATGCTTGATGAATTTAAGGTTTATTTCTTCCTTAAACCTTGTTTATTAGAGCTGAAAACATTAAAAGATGACAGTTCTGGGGAAAAAAAGACTAAAGACCTGACATTTAAAATTGTACAAGGAGGTGAGAATCGGTGGGCTCCTTTGCTCCTAGCCATCCTGAGATCATGGGTGTGGGGACAGCATCGATGAACGTGTGACATTGTTCACGTCATCGTGGCCCTGGCTGCTTCGAGCAGTCTTTAACATTTAAAATGAGAACTCCGTCTTAGCATCTGCCTTCACTTTTGAGGAGGACGGCCCTGGGCCACTCCTCTAAGGAGGGTAGCGGAGATCGGCCACCATTGGGCTCGCGCAGTCCGAGCGGCACTCGGACAGGAGTGGGGTAATAACTTGCTGTGTCACTAAGGGCTGTCACGAACCCTGTTCTGCCGCATCCTTTTCTTAATCCAAAGAGATTCCCCGGGACAGCCCTGTGTTTCAGCAGTTGTTGGAACGGTCTCCGGGGCAGGCCCAGGACGCGTTTCCCAGGACTGTCCGGGCGCGCCCCATGTGCACAGGGCTGAGAACGCCGCTCTCTCACGCCGTCCGTCCACGAAGCAGCTGCTCGCTTTGCGTTGCCCTCGGGCTCCGCCGAAGCAGCAGGTCTGCGGGGAGCCTGCTGGCCCGGACCCGGACCCGGATCCTGATCCGGACCGCCTCCCTGCCTCTCCTTCCCTCCCTTGTCTCCTTCCACGGTGCACCTTACCTGTGAGGGCGAGGCTCGTGGGTAACAGCTGCCTTCTGGCACCTTCATGAAATACCTCAGCATAGCTTAGCATTGTTGCAGAACTGGATTTAAACTAAAAACCAAATAAATAAAAGAAAAAACTTTATAAATAGTGGAAATAATTCTAGCTGTAGCATTTAGTTGAACTGTTTATTATGGCTGATAAACATGATTGATACTGTATGTATGTAGGACCCTGTTTCTAGGTTACAGTTTGTAGGGTTAGGGAGGGCCGGGTGGGGGGACGTTGACTATGTTAGAAGGAAGGCGTCGCTCGTGGGTGTTTGTTTTTCCTTATATCTGTCTTGCCAAAGGAAACGTTTTTCCCTGTGACTGGGCGTGGGCTCTGCCGGCCTTCCTGTGGTCTCTTCTGCAGCAGTGTGTGGTGACGGGCGTGCAGGTGACACGGGGTGGCAGTTAAATCCATAGGCCCCAAGGGGATAGCCTACCCTGCGGCTGCTTGGCCACCCAGGCCCAGCAAGCCTCTTCCAAGGATTCGTGACCTCTGTCCTTAGCAAATGCTTGGGCAGGATCGGACGTGTTGTGGCTGGGTGGGCGATCGAGAGCGAGAGGCGGGATGCTGGGAGGGGCCAGCGAGTGCGTGCCGTGAGCTGCTCTAGGGGATTAAAGTGAGACGCTTCTGCCTGTCGCCCTTTGCCGAGTTGTGGAATGGGGTCCGATTGGCATTAAAGCCTCACTTCCTGCTCTTATACCAAGGCTGGTTCTGTCAAGACCAAAAATACAGATTGAAAAAAAAAAAAGTGAATCTGCTTGCCTCCCTTGTGGTGAGATGAGACCTTTAGGGAGTGGCCCATCGGTGGGTTCGCGGAGTGCACTGTTCCGGGGGGACATGAACAAGAGCTGGTGCCGGCTAGGAGAACACGGCCATCCACGCCATGCTCTGGGCTGGGCAGGGCTGGTGCCGGCTAGGAGAACACGGCCCTCGGGGCCGGGCAGGGCTGGTGCTGGCCTCTGGGCCGGTGCTCTTGGCTTCCTGAGCTCAGTGTAGACTCTCTAGAAAGGCTGTATTTGAATAAATGGCCCCTCTCAGATCTGAAGTGCGTTTTGGTTTGAGTACCGGGGATACTGCTGCGTCCCTGTCTGTCTACGTTTCGGAGCGGGCCGAGAGGACAGGAGCAGGAAGCAGCGCTGCGGGAGAACTGCACGCAGCCTCTCGCCCTGCCCCCTCCGCCCGGTGCGCCCTTGCCAAGGGCAGCTTGGTTGCCCCGCCCCGCCCTGCCGGCCCCGCAGAGGTGGCTAGTGACCCTAGGTGGCCGTGATGCTCTTGGACTGCGGAGAGACCCGGGGAGGGCAAAGGCGGGGTAGAACCCTTGTCTGCCTTCTCTTCATCTGGTGCGTTGGAAGAGCAGCAGCGCGGCTGCGCTCGGAGGGAGTGTAGGCGTGCTGTCCCGCGCTGTCTCCGGTGCGGATGCGCAGGCTTCCGTGGAAAGCCAGCAGCCTGTCTGCTCTCCCATCCAGCTGTTCCCGATGCCGTGTTGGTGGACTCTGGGGACCGAGCGGGGCAGTGTGGCGGCCTGTCGCTGGGACCCAGAGGGAGAGGAAGAGGGAGCGCCCTCCTAGTGACCCATCAGAGGACGGCAGGGCCAGCGCTCCGCACTGCCCTGGCATCGCGGGAGTGGGAGTGCGGCTTTTCCCAGCCCAGCTAGGTTTTCAGTAGGTCCTCCGGACCTTGCCGATTAGAGCACTCGGGACGCACGGCCTGGGAAACGAGGTGTGTATAAGGGACCTGCTCCCTGCAGCCAGGAGGGTCCCTCCCGCGTCCCTGGTCTGTCCTGTGCACAGCCCCCCAACCTCCAGGTACAGTAAGGACACTGTAAAGAGTAGAGCCCCCACAGCCGCCTGACTGAGAAGTCGAGGTCTGGGCCAGTCCTCCATGTT